GTTTTATTTTAGCTGTATAACTGATACTCTTCTCTGTGCTAAATTAACAGCCTACTTTTTAGTGTGAAATTTGTTTAGTTATTACATTGTAATTTTTCTAAAACAAGTTCAAATTAAAATACTTTTGTTGTTAATTCTAGGTAGGCCAGAGTTATAGCTTGCTGGTGGAGCATTTTGTCTGCCATGCCCAAGGCCCTGGGTTCATCACCCAACCCTAAAGGCAAAGAAACACTGCTGTAGCCTTTTGTTTTTAAGTGTTTATCTTATTTTTATTTGTGTGTGTGTGTGTGTGTGTGTGTGTGTGTGTGTGTGTGTGTGTATGTGTATGTGTGTGGGTGTGGGTGTGGGTGCCTGCAGAGGCCAGAAAGGGTGTGGAGAGCCTAGAGCTGGAGTAACAGGTGGGCCACCTGAGGGGGAGAGCGAGCCATGGCTGAGCTTGCAGCCCTACCTTTGGCATTTAAAAGTATAGCTTAATTAAGTTAAAACAATAGTAGTTTAGTTGCTAAAACTTTGTTACGTGCAGTATGCTAACGTTAACTCCATCCTCACAAAAAGCTTCCTTAAGAAATTCCCTGCGGCACAAGGCTGATTCAGCTCCAGCCAAGAAACCATAAACAGTGCTCCCAAAGAGCACCCAAACTGTGCCCACCCCGGACAGAGTGACCCCATCGGGGTGATAAGACAGTGACTAATTTTGATAAATAACATCATCTCGCCACAACTGTCCTTGTGGGCAACTGTTAGTAATGATTTTGAAATTCCCCTAGCCCCCATGTCTGTGAATCCAAAGATCACCTACTGTTACCCAATCCTGAACAGCCAAGGCACGTACCACCCTGCTTGCGATTTTTTTCCTTTAAAAACCCCTTACAATTGAGGCCAGGAACCCTTTTCCTGAAGCTGCTGTGCCAGTTTGCTGGACAGGGTCCCTGCCGAGGTGGTAACTTAACACTAAACCTTGTGCGTTTGCCCCAGTGAGTCGGCTCCTTGGTGGTGTCTCTTGGGGCATAACAGTCTTCTCTTGTGAACATCTCTTCCTGTATTGCCTTCTCCTACCTATCCTATTTTCTTGTTTTTTGTGTGGCTCTATGTTTTGTTTTTTAAGAAAGGGTCTGTGTGACTCTGGCTGGTCTTAAGTGAGCCTTGAACTCTTGATCCCCCTGTGTCGTCCTGTCTGAGTGCTGGGATTAAAGATGCACGCTCTCAAGCCTGGCTCGGTTTTCCTGTTTTACAGTTTGCACTTGCCCGGTGTCATGTAAGTAAAATCGTGCCTATGAATCCAGTGCCCACAGCCGCCTCTGTCACATAGTGCGAATTACGTGATTAGACTGGTGATGGCTCAGCAGGCGAGGGTGTTTGCCTCCTCGTGGTGCATACCTGATGACCAAGTGTGGTTTTGGTGACTGTCCTCTGACCTCCATATACATGCCATGCCACATGTGGCCACACACATGTGCACACATAAGAAAACCACTTTTTCCCAAAAATCTTACCCTGCCTTATCCTCCTTTCATTTATGCTTTTTAAGATGCTATCCGCATCCTCACCACACCCTCCTGCTGGCTAACTGACGATAACTGAAAGCATACGTTTTAGTTTTCTATTTAGTATAATCTTTTTTTCTGTTATAAAATTACCCAAGTGTGGTCATCAGACTTTAAGAACATCTGGTGGGGTCCTTCACACAGGGAGTGAGTGTCGTGTGTCCTGACTGACATGCGCGAAACTGTGTCACTGTGAACTCGTGGTCATCTGCAGTTTCCCCAAGACTTGGACAGCGTAACATGTTGCCATTAACCGGCCGCAGCCATGGAAGAGAAGTACCTGATGGCAGTCTCTGGTCTAACCCTTAGCTAGTAATGCCCATTTTACCTTACAAATAGTGACTCAGCTTGGGCAGACACTCATGAGAGTCAGAGGTGCCTATGCTTAAACAGCCAAAAGGGTTTCAGCTGAGGGTTGGCTGATTTTTCTCTGAGAAAAACTAGTAACTAGTTACTGAAAGGTTAGATACAAACAAGCTTTGTTTCTCATTCCAAGTTGGATGAGGTAGTAATGTCCAACTTAAACCACAATTATACCCAGCCACTTGATAATTGAATGTTGCATGCCTTTTATTCCTTCATTTGAAAAACGAGATCAATCTCCCTGAGACAGTGCATGCCCAACATTTCGAGTGGTGCCTGTGGTTAAACAGAACGACTGAGAACTTTGGAGAATGTGGCCACAGAACATCACTGGAAGCTTTGAGTCACTTTCTTTTTTGGGCTTGTGTGAATGTTGTTTGGTTTGGTCACATGTCCCATTTGACTAAGCAGTGTACTCAAGTTTATTCATAGTGAGGTTGGTAAAATATATAAATAACCCAGCTCAAAGAAAATTTCACATTTTAACTCTATCATTTTTTTTCTATTTAAGAAGTGGGAGGATTCTCAGTTACATTTGTTTTTGAAAGTGGGCTAAGGGAGTTTTTGAAGGAGGTGATAGAGAGCATGTCTGCAGTCCTGTCACTCAGGGCAGCCTCAGACAGTACACCCCGTCCTCACAGCAACAAGGACAGTAAAGCAGCGAGGAGGCTGACGAGGTGTAGAAGGGGTGAAGAGCCGGTAAGGGCTGTCGCCTGCGGCTCGTCACAAAGACGTGCTGTCGCCTGTGGCAGGTGTGGGTGCCCGTGCCCGGCTTGCTTTGTATCCGGGTGTGATGTAAGCATTATTTTATTAGACGTGCCTTGGAGGGATGGGGAGATAGGTGGGTGAGTTAAGCCCTTTACCGGTGAGCGTGAGCACTGGTGTTCCGATCCCCGGTGGGTGTGGTGGCCTGCCCGCAGTCCATGTGACTAGTCAGATGAGCAGAGTTGTGGCCCAGCAAGAGAATCTTCCTCAGTACATATGGTGAAGAGCAAGGCAGAGGACACTTAAAGTCACCCTGAGGAGTCCACACACTCATACACAAAGTCCACACGCATACATGTGCCAGAAGTTCTCAGATGGAAGGCATTATGTACCACAACATATGCACATTCATGTAATGTGAGCTGCCATTTGTAAGCTGTGTGAAAAGCTCTGTATGTTTTTATATTATTTTATGTGTATGTATGTGTGCCTAAGTATATATCTATGCCCCATGTGAGTGCAGGAGCCCATACAGGTTAGAAGAGACTGTGTGTGTGTGTGTGTGTGTGTGTGTGTGTGTGCATATATGAATTTAAAAGAAGCTTTATGTCTTTGACCAAGTAAGTAGCAGCTTTTATAAAACAAAAAAACAAGAAATCAACATTAGCGTGATGGTCTGTAAATACATACGTGTGTGTGTGTGTGTGTACATGTGTATGTGTGTATATATGTATGTGTATGTATGTGTATTATGTGTGTGTTGTGTTTGTACGTGTGTGTATGTATGCATGTTCAGATAGTGTTCTCTTGCTGCAAAGTCAGGCTGTGCATATTTTGGAGGAACCAAGTTACAAAGCCTGCATTCTGTTTTAGTTCTGCTGTTTCCTTTTGAGGCACTAGGACAGCTTCACATGCTAAGCATGCACTCTACGTGAGCTGCATGTCACTCTAGCAGGTCTAGCAGTGCCTCCTGCTGTCTGCATAGCAGAACTGCAGTCTCGGGGATACAGAATTCTAGAGTCCATGTGTGTCTGTGTTAGGTCATCAAGCGTAGGTCAACTAAATGAGTGAGTCAGAAATCCTCACGGCTTGACCTTGGGTTGAGTCCATAGTCTTTTTATCAGGGTGGCTGGCTTGTCTCTTGGGAAGGCTCCGGTGTCCCTTCCTCATCAGGAGGCCATAGCTGGAGCTGTGGCTGCCTCCCTCTGAGTTGTTTCCGTAGCCTCAGCCGTCCTCGTCCCTGTCATTTCAGGCTTTGTTTGAAGGCATCGCTTTCTGTTATCCTGGCTTTTCTTGTTCACTGCATCATGTGCAGACTGTCTGGTTCACCTCCTTCCCAGAAGATGGATTGAGTTTAAAGCCTCTGCCCCACGGTTGGAGTGATGGTGAAGTTACAGTCCAAAGAGGGAGATATTTGTTACAGTCTTTGTGAATAATCTTCTACGACAAGCTCGATGATCCTGTGTGTGTGTGTGCCTGTGCTTGTGTGTGACTGTGTGGTGTGTGTCTATGTGCGTGCGTGTGTCTGTGTGTGCATCCGTGTGTGTGTCTGTCTGTGTGTGTGCGTGTGTCTGTGTGTGTGTGCACGTGTGTGTGTGCGTGCGTGTATGTGAGATGGACTGCCGCACCTTGCTACGACTGGGCGAGCACTGCACCCCTGGGCTGTACCTTTAGTCGTCACGTAGCATGTTTAGTTTGCAGGGTTGGAGACTGAACCTAGGACCTTGTTCATGCCACAAGCACTCTGGTTGCCCATTGACATCGCTGGCCTGCTTCGATGTGTTCTTACCTCACTGCACCCAGCGCCCAGCCTCCAGAGGTGGAACTGCATAGACTTGTACTTCACTGTGTCTGTAGACTGTGAGTGCGTGTGAGTGTACGCGTGTCTCTGTCTGGTGCTTGTGGAAGCCAGATTCCACAGTAACAAATGTGAAAGGACATTGGTGTTTTGTTTTGAAAAAGAGATGTATGTGTATGGGTATTTTACCAGTGCCTATGTATGTCGTAGACAGTGTTTCTCTGTGTAGCTTTGTAGAACAGGCCAGCCTCGAACTCACTGAGATTCACCTGCTTCTGCCTTCAGAGTGCTAGGATTAAAGGCATGCACCATCACTGCCCAGGTAGGAATAAATTTTTTTTGTTGCTGTTGTTTTGTTTTTTGTTTTTCAAGACAGGGTTTCTCTGTGGCTTTGGAGGCTGCCCTGGAACTCGCTCCTTTAGACTCACAGAGATCCGCCTGCCTCTGCCTCCCGAGTGTGGGGACTAAAGGCGTGCGCCACCACCGCCCGGCTAGGAGTAAATTTTTATAAATGGAAGTACTGTGGGTTATTCTTTTGCTCAGAGAGTTTTAGATACCTGTAATCATTTGGGATTTGCACTTACTTTTAGGAGCTCTGCCAGTGCCGGCCTGGAGAAGGAAGCTGCCCTTGCTGTAAGGAGTGCATGCTGTGCCTGGGGACCCTGTGGGATGAGTGCTGCGACTGTGTCGGTAAGTGGTGGGCAGCCACGCCGTCCCCAGACTTCTCTTTGTTTCTTTTTCTTTCTTTAAGATGTATTTATTATGTACAGGGTTCTGCCTGCATGTACACCTGCAGGCCAGAAGGGGGCGCCAGATCTCATTACAGATGGTTGTGAGCCACCATGTGGGTGCTGGGAATTGAACTCAGAACCTCTGGAAGAGCAGTCAGTGCCCTTAACTGCTGAGCCATCTCTCCAGCCCCAGATTTTGTCTTTTAAATCACAGAATCCTTGACTTTAAATAATATAAGTTTCTTAATCAGGATTGTCATTGTTGTGATGTGACACCAGGACCAAAGTAAGCTGGGGAGGAGAGGGTTCGTCTGACTCACACTTCCACATCCCTGCTCATCACCGAAGGACGTCAGGACAGGAGCTCACAGGGCAGGAACCTGGAGGCAGGAGCTGATGCAGAGGCCGTGGAGGGTGCTGCTTACTGGCTTGACCCTCATGACTTGCTCAACCTGCTTTCTTATGGAACCCAGGACCAGCAGCCCAGCGATGGCCCCACCTACTGTAATCTGGACCTCCCCCATCAATCACTAATTAAGAAAATGCCGTACAGGCTTGCCTACAGCCTCATCTTTTGTTTGTTTTTTAAGACTATACAGCCTCATCTTATGGAGGGATTTTCTTCATTGAGGATCCCTCCTCTCTGATGAGTCTAGCTTGTGTCAAGTTGATATAAACCCTGCTAGCACAAACTGTACCTACCATACATGTAAATAATACTGCGTAAGATAAGTGTACAGAGAATTATATTACTGCTAGCACAAACTGTGCCTACCATACATGTAAATAATACTGCGTAAGATAAGTGTACAGAGAATTATATTACTGCTAGCACAAACTGTACCTACCATACATGTAAATAATACTGCGTAAGATAAGTGTACAGAGAATTATATTACTGCTAGCACAAACTGTGCCTACCATACATGTAAATAATACTGCGTAAGATAAGTGTACAGAGAATTATATTACTGCTAGCACAAACTGTACCTACCATACATGTAAATAATACTGCGTAAGTAAGTGTACAGAGAATTATATTACTGCTAGCACAAACTGTGCCTACCATACATGTAAATAATACTGCGTAAGATAAGTGTACAGAGAATTATATTACTGCTAGCACAAACTGTACCTACCATACATGTAAATAATACTGCGTAAGTAAGTGTACAGAGAATTATATTACTGGCATATAGTTATGTAAAAATAGTTTAAATAAAAAAGATTAGGAAGGAAGTGTAGGAGTGAGGAATCAATGGAGAATATATTTAGTTTTTAATCTTATTTAATTTTATCTGTATGGGTGTTTTGCCTGTATGTCTGACTGTGAAAAACATATGTTTTGTTGTTTTTTGTTTTTTCAAGACAGGCTTCTCTGTGTAACAGTGGCAGTCCTGGAACTCACTTTGTAAATTGCTGATCTTGAATTCACAGAGATCCATCTGCCAGCACTTGGGAGACAGAGCCAGGTGGATCTCAGGGAGTTCAAGGACAGTTTGGTCTACAGAGTGATTTCCAGGTTATAAAGATTTTAGAAAAAAGTAATGCTTGAGTGTGGTGATGCCTACAGGTTGGAAAGCTGAGCTAGGCACCTGTGGCTTCACAAGTTTGAAACCAGTGGGGGGGGGCGCTGGAGGAAGGCAGGCGGTGCGTGCCCAGGAAGACGCTCACCTGCCCTCAGACAGCTCATCGGGTTTGTTGGACCAAGGACCCAGTTGTGTAGACAATTTCCCGTCCACCATTTTTCCTTTCGAAAGACTGGTGTGTATTAAATGAGCATATAGAGTTGATTGTGAGGTTTTCATACATGTATGTGATACACTTCTAGCATGTTTACCACCTCTGGCATCCACTCTTATCCTCCCTGCTCCTACGGGTCCTCTCCTCACATGGTCTGGTGTGGAATAATAGTTTACGGTGTGTTACATTTGTTTATACCGAGGAACATTTGTCTAGTGATGCCAACTTGTGTGGCTTTCTTTTATGTTGCAATTGTTTAACTCTGTGATGCTGTGACTCTTTGCCTGTCTAAAACACCTGATGGTCTAATAAAGAGCTGAACGGCCAACAGCAAGGCAGGAGAAAGGACAGGCGGGGCTGCCAGGCAGAGAGGATAAACAGAAGGAGAAATCTGGAAGGAAGAGATGTAGGGTCATGAGGAGAGGAGGACTCCAGGGGCCAACCACCCAGCTACACAATTTGCTGTGGGATAAGAAGTAACGAAAGGGATACAGAGTAGAGAAAGGTGAAAACCCAGAGGCAAAGGTCAACGGACCAATTTAAGAAAAGCTGGCTAGAAACAAGCCAAGGCCAGGCTTCGTAAGAAAGAATCAGCCGCCATGTGTGTATTTATTTGGGAGCTGAGTGGTGGCCCCCAAAGAACAAAAAAAGCCTGCAATAGTCCCTTTCGCCCTTTGGTACCCTTGTTCTCTTTAGACAGGGTCTCACTGTGTAGACCAGAATGACCTGGAACCTGCTGTAGACCAGGCTGGCTTGGAATCCAAAGATCCACCCTCCTCTGCCTCCCAAATGCTGGGATCAAAGGTGTGCACCGCCACTCCCAGTCCTTATGTCTGTAAAAGAACATGTTTTACAGTTTCCGTTTGAGAGAGAGAAAAAAGACATCACACACCGTCTTTAAAAGTTGTAACAAAGGACCAGTGATACGGCAGACGAGCAAAGAGCAGGCCTGGACTGAAGGAGAGAGTAGTTCCTGGAGTTCAGTCAGGATAACAGCCTTGTGTGTGACCTGGGGGACGGTCCTGGCTGAAGCCGTGAGGAAGGGCTCTGAGAAGCTCTCTGAGGAGAAACCAGCCTTCAGGCTGTCAAACATGTGTTTGAGAAGCAGAATAATTTCTCTAAAAATGTGGAAGCTTTGTTCTGTGTCCAGTGATCCTAAGCTTAGAGGTGCATGTCTACAAGGTACTGAAGCGCTCCTCACAGGGTGCCAGCCCGGATGCCTGTCAGCAGGTCAGCATGAAGAAGTTGTGGTACCTGTATACAGTTCCTTTAAGTAACTCGAGCTTAACAGTCGTGAGTGCTTCAGTTTGTCCTTATCATAGACGGTCTCATTTATTTCTTCACTTTTAAAGATGAGTTTCCTGGATTTAATGGGCTTTACTCTTATGACTTGAAATATGTCATTCCAACTGACCATGGTGTCATGTGCGTAATCCCAGCCCGTGGGAGACTGAGACAGGAGGATGGCCAAAATGTGAGGCCAATCTGGGCTACATGGTGAGTTCAAGGCAAGCCTGCACTGTGTAGAGACCCTGTCTCAGAACACACACACTCACACTAACATTCATATTCGCTCACACCGCTCACGCTCACAATTCACATTCGCTCACACACTCACGCTCACACACTCCTGCTCACACCGCTCACACCGCTCACGCTCACACATTCACATTCGCTCACATGCTCACGCTCACACACTCACACACTCACACACTCACGCTCACACCGCTCACGCTCACACCGCTCACGCTCACACATTCACATTTGTTCACACCACTCACACACTCACACACCGCACACGCTCACGTTCACACACTCACGCTCACACACTCACGCACTCACACTCACACCGCTCACGCTCACACACTCACGCACTCACACTCACACCGCTCACGCTCACACACTCACGCACTCACACTCACACCGCTCACGCTCACACACTCACGCACTCACAGGAGTGGTAAACAATGTGCTCTGTATTGATTCTTTGATGGCTGACATGCTACTTTGTCACCCTTGACCACATCCCTAGTATTCACTCTTTTGTCTGATTTGGTAATCTGTCGAGAATGCTTTCCTTAATATTCTTTTCTGAATTACTGAGATTCTCACTGCAGTATTTGCTGGGTTTGTGTTCGCTTTTGAAGTCTGCACGCTGTCCTCACGCTCAGTTTCCCGTTAGTCTCTGCCGCTCTCGTGTGTGCTGCATTTACCCTGGCCTGGGACTTCCTACCCCTCATGTGCTTGTTCAGATTCCTCCTAGGGTCCCTGACAGGCTTTAGAAGTGCACTTGGATTCCTTGTCCTCTGGGCCATCCCGTCGTCGGTCTCTGGCGGCAGTGAGTGGGGACTGGCCCGCTGGGCTCTCTGCTCCCCTCCCAGGTTCCTTCTGCCCTTGTCCTGTCTCAGTTCCGTCTGTGCCTTCTAGTCGTCTTGGCACCGCTGTGGGTCCTGGCTGTTTTCTTCTCTTTTTCTTTTCAAGATAAAATCCGTCTTCATCGCCCCAGCTCTGTTCCTTCATAGTGTTTGCAAGAGACAGTGCCTGCCCTCTGTCTTACTGAAGCAGCCCCTCTCCGCGTCCTGGTTTTAATGCATTACTAGTTAAAGGACAAGCCTTTTCATCCAAAATTGGTAATGCACAAAAGTGAATTTTTTATAATGACGTTCTGGTAGTAAGCACTGGAGCTTTAAGTCTGACCTTTGAACTCAAGCATTTGCCTCTCATCACTGGTTGCTAGTTCGACGTACACAGAAGGCGGCAGCAGAAACCGCGTGTGCCGTACGCTCTGCGGCACTGGCCGCTCCCTGTGCTGGGACCGCGTTAGCATGTGCTTGTTGGAACGGCAGTGTGAAAGCAGGCCGTCATGACTGTGGCGCTGCTCCTGCTGTGTAACAGGAGATAAGACGTTGTCTTTGGTCTGTTTCCTCACTTACGAGTAAAGTGTTCATGCTTTCATTTAATCCTTGATTCTGCCGTACAGTTTGACTCTGAAGTTCAGATTTCTTAAACTGTATGAGAGAGAAACACAAGTTATTCTACTCAGCTCTTGCCAAATTCCTTAACAAAATGTAAAAAACAGAAGAGATACTTTTCTCCTCACTGAATTTATAAAATTTAAGAACTTATAAATTTTGGCTTAACTTTTCAAACTTTTACTCCAGGGAAGACATGAAATTCTATTAGACCTAATAGATATTAACAAAAAATGAAACATAATTTTGTTTTTAAAGTGTGATACACAGGGCGTGTCCATCTGGTATATACACCAGGCCCTAGGCCGGATCCCCAGCGGCACATAAACCAGCTGTTGTCACACGCCGGTACTCTGAGCACAAGGGACAGTTCAAGGTCGTTCTTGGTGTTATGACTTGAATGTGAGAGGTTCCCCACTGCTCGTGTGTTTAGATGCTGGGTCCCCAGCTGATGGTGCTGTCAGGGACTTTAAGGGGTGATGCTGCTGGGGAAACCCCACTTCCTGTTGATTATGCTTCCTGGGTGTGGATGAGACACCAGCCAGGGATTGCAGATGTGTCACGCACACCTGGTTCTACAGCGCTGGGGACTGAATTGAGGGCTTGAATAGCATCTTAGCAACTGAGCTGTATCCCAGGCTCTGGTAGCCAGTTTTCAAGGTCTCATTGATTATTGAGTCAGTGAAAGCTGACGTTCCATGTCATCACATTGCCTTCCATGTATTACACATGCACACACACACGCCAGCATACGTGCGTGTGCTTTCCTGGCTGACTGTGTATTTGTGTTACCAAAGCCCTGGAATCACAGGTGGTGGGTAGTTTGAACCTTGGTTTGCTCAGTGAGTGGTTCTCACTACTTTTTGTCCTTTCAGGAGGAAAAAAGGTCTGGAAAACATGCAGTCGTAATGCTAGAAATCACAGCGTTAGCATACAGAGGATGCCAGGGGATTAGCAAAGCACCGAGTGTTAGAATCCGTGAGGAAAGTAAACTTTTATTCCCTTTGCCTCCCCAGGGATGTGTAACCCTCGGAATTACAGCGACACGCCTCCCACTTCAAAGAGCACGGTGGAGGAGCTGCATGAGCCCATCCCTTCCCTGTTCCGAGCACTCACAGAGGGAGACACCCAGCTGAACTGGAACATTGTCTCCTTCCCTGTGGCGGAGGAGTTGTCCCACCATGAAAATCTGGTTTCCTTCTTAGAAACTGTGAACCAGCCGCACCACCAAAATGTGTCTGTTCCCAGCAACAATGTCCACGCCCCTTATCCCAGCGACAGAGGTACCTGTTGCTCTCTGGTCTGTGACACCTGTGTCAGGTTATCTTTCAGAGCAGCTTCTAAGTTTGATTTGTGTAGCCTGAAATAGACGGGGACTGGGGAGACACCAGCGTCTTCACTAGACGGCCCTGAAACACAAGAATTGTTCACTGCTATTGTGTGAATATGGAGGGTGCTCGCTGCCGGCACATCTGGGAAGCGCTGTGCGGTGGGCCCCGGGGTCAGACAAGGCCTGCATGGCAAGTCCTCTACCCCTGAGCCCTCCCACTGGGCTTCCCTTTCTCTCTCTGACATAGTTTGATGTGTATTTGAATTCACTGCAAAGCCAGGTTAGTCTTACACTCATGATCTGCTGCTCCAGCCCCACGTGTGAAGACAACATGTATGTGCACTCATGATCTCCTGCTGCAGCCCCATGTGTGAAGACAGCATGTACGTGCCCCCGGGCTTTGCCCTGTTCCGTGGATATTCTACGCATCTCCAAGGCTCATCCTTCAGTGCCCAGAAGCTTCGTCTTTTATTCACCTAGACACAAGCCCAGTATTTTCTCAGAGGCCTTCCCTCTATTCATTAGTTCTAAGTGGCTCTAAAAACAACTTAGTCAAGCAGGCAGGGCGGCACATGCATGTAACCCAGGACCAGTTGGCCGAAGCAGGAGCAATAGGAGTTTCTTGAGCAGTCTCGGCTGCATAAGCAAGAGACCAGCTCCTCTGTCCTGGGATGGGAGAAGAAACAAAACACAAGCCTTAACTTTTGATGGTGCGCTCTCTGCTCGGGGTTGCTATTGTCTTTGGTTTGTTTAGTTATATGTTAGCAAAGCAGCCCCATGCAACTAACACCTGCAGAGTTAAAAACGTGGCCATCCTGTGGCAATCTTATTAGGGGTGTCTACTTGCTAATATATGCTGATGCCTAATCGTGTAGATTACTTGCTTCAGTACAAATTCTCAGTATGAGCTTAGGACCGTAGTTTTCAGTCTTGTCTGGACTGGAGAAGTATGTCTTTGGAGAAGCGTCAGTTTAGGAAGCAGCCATGGTGCCTCGAAGATGGTTGTTAGCCAGATGATCTAACCTTCGTGTCTCTGCCTGTGTGTAAAGTGAAGATCTGTCAACACAGGTAGCAAACAAAGGTTTTTTGTCCTCGTTTTTGTCCTGTGCTGGTCAGCAGTAAGAGAACTAGGCAGATAACTGCTGGTGTCGTTAACTGTGTGGCAGAGCTCTTGTTGTCTGTACTGAAACCTCCGGTGTCTGTCTGTTTGTTTTCCAGAGCACATGTGTACTGTGGTCTACTTTGATGACTGCATGTCCATACACCAGTGTAAAATATCCTGTGAGTCCATGGGAGCGTCTAAATACCGCTGGTTTCATAATGCCTGCTGTGAGTGCATCGGCCCGGAGTGTATCGACTACGGCAGTAAAACCGTCAAGTGTATGAACTGCATGTTTTAAAGAAGGAAGGAAACGCAAACCAAAGCGGTCCAGTCGATGGGAGGGCGTGGAAATTACTCAGCAAGTCGTGAAGTGTGCAGATGTCATGAGTCGAGTATGCTAGGCCCATGTTAAGTATGTATTATAACTGTACTCGTATGTTTGCTGCCTGTTAGTGTATGTCTTTTCCATTGGCTACAGTAGAACTTGAGTCCTGTGAGGGCGGGGTCCAGAGGAGCCTGGAAGATCTCGGATCGGTGCTTTCTGTTTCCAGTGGCAGAGAAGACTGTTAGCAGGGCTTGTGGCTTTCACCTGCCAATGCCAGGACACCGGGTCTCTACGCTCACGCCTTCCTTAACCGTGCCTTGGATTGCTTATCTGCTTATGTAAATAGAGTAAATATTACAGTATGTAATTCTAACAACTCACATTCAAGCCACTGTAAAAGCTTAGTTTCAAACCGCTTTACATTGGTTTCAGAAAGTAAATATTTACTATATTTTACTATATATCACAACAGAAAACTTTTACCTAGGGCCAGTAAGCTTACTCAGTGGATAAAGGTGTCTGCTGCCACCTGATGGCCTGTGCTCGATCCCTAGTCCCAGAGTAGGAGAGAACCCAGCTCCTGCAAGTTGTCCTCTGACCTCCACATGTGCAGTGACACTTGTGCATGCAGGTGCCCACATGTGCACACGCACACACATGTAAATGTCTGAAAGCATGTTAAACGGCTTACGTGGTGAGACCTGTCCTACAGCACTCGTGCTGACAGGGACTTAGACGTCTTCCGCTCCACCACCACATGCTGATGCGTTGATGTGTCGGCGTTGAGTCATCACGACCAAGAGTCGCAGCGTACCTTTGAAACTCCACTACGGCACTGTATGAGGGTCTGGGTGCACAAGTAGCCAGGGAAAGAGCAGCCAGGCTGCAGATCACGTCAGGCACTGGTAGGTCAGACTCAGCAGAGGTGAAGTGAGGCGCGGGGTGGGGGTGGGAGGGCGGGGCTGGCTCAGCACTAGCAGAGTAACCAGCTCCTCCAGCACGTGAGGCTGCAGAGGGCTGAAGAGGCGTGCACAGGCGTGAACCGAGAATGTCGGGAAGCATCTATAGACACTGTTTTAGTTGCTTTGTAATACCACATTTGTTTCTGGACATCTGAACCTAATATCTTATTAAATAAATGTCATATTTTGGAAAGCTATATTTCTGAAAGTAGAGGGGAAATCTGTTCACTATGCTCACTCCTAGCATGCCGTGGAATCATCTAGTCAGCTTCTTATATAGTGTTTCCATAGAGGCGAACTGAATACTATATGCCCTTCATAGAAATAAAACCCTTACCTTTAAGCATGAATCTAAAACAAACATTTATAATACATAGACTCGATTTTAAAAAATGCTATTTTCTCAAGTGTGTATTTGAATTAAAGTAACTTTTAGGAATACTTTACATATTTTAGTACATAAAATAGAAAATGCTTTTAAACACATTTACATTTTTATTTGAATAGTAGTTTGTTACAAGATCATTTGTGATAGTATGGTATCCATTATTAAATCTGTGCTCTTTCTTAACTGAAGAATACTGAAGGTGCTTCAGCCTTCTGTGGATCTGGCTATTACACATCAGGGCGTCCTCTCTCTTACACCAACACCTCTGTGTAAAAGTGCCCTGCAGCCAGGCGGTGGTGGCGCACGCCTTTAGTCCCCACACTCGGGAGGCAGAGGTAGGTGGATCTCTGTGAGTTCGAGGCCGGCCTGGTCTACAGAACGAGTGCCAGGACAGCCTCCAAAGCCACAGAGAGAAACCCTGTCTCGAAAAGCCAAAAAAGAAAAAAAAAAAGAGTGCCCTGCAAACATTTCAGCTCCTTTCTCTGCTCCACACGGCCGTGTGGAGGGCACTTGAAGGACTGCAGCTGGCAAACTGTCAAGGACTGTCACGCCCTGCACGCAAGGCTGCTTCCTGTGGTGGCTTCAGGCAGTTCCCCTCACGCTCTCTTTTGTTTGTTGTTTGTTGTTTTGTCTTGAGTCAGGGTCTCTATGCAGCCCCCGCTGGCCTGGAACTTGCTATGTCGATGAGGCTGGCTATCCTCATGTTTGCTTATGATGCCCACAAACATTGTTAAAATATATCTTCACCTTTTTAAGCTTTTCATTGTCAAAATTTAAAATGTTGTGTGTCTTTTTTTTATCCCATCCATTTCTATGTGGGCAATTTTGTTTTGTTTTTATTTTTTGAGACAGGGTTATTCTGTGTAGTCCTGGCTGTCCTGGAAGTCACTCTGTAAACCAGGCTGGCCTTGAACTCACAGAGATCCGCCTGCCTCTGCCTCCTGAGTGCTGGGATTAAAGGCGTGCGCCACCACTGCCCAGCATGTGGACAATTTTTTAAGCTAATTGCTTTAACTGTTTTTTATTGCCCTGTTTTCCCCATTAGAAATTATTTCCACAGATGAATTTTATATTTATGTTTTGTGTATTTTTCCTGGTTTGCCAGGGTCTTGAGTAAAAAGTGGCATTCAGCTGACAGATTTTATTTTCAGAGCCAGGAGTTGAGAAGCTAAACAAGGAAATCACAGGACCAAAGCCAGCTTGTGGTACATAGCAAGACGCTGTCTCAAAAAAGCAAAACACAGACAAACAAAAAAACCCTTTCTAGTTCTGTACTCAGCGTTCTGAGTAATTTTTTACATTGAAATTAAACATTTCAGATGTTAGTAGCCTGCTTCTGCACAGTTCTAGCACGTTCTTCCACACTGAAGATTTTGTAAAAGTTTGTTTCTTTTTCAATAAAAAATGTTGTTGTCTTTATTACAGCCAGGTTTAAAAAATCTCAGATTTTAAGGGCTGAGGTTAAAACCCAGGATGGAGCTCTTGGTTATTGTGGGTGCAGCCCTGGGTTCCACCCTGAGTGCCAACAAGAAACAAAACACCAGGATGTGAATGGGGCATTTAAATCCATGCACACACACTGTCCTGTAGCAAGACATGGACAGGCTGCTTCCCCATGACATCTAATTATGACTGGAATTATATTCATAATTATGGTACAAAAAGCAAACAGCAATTCAAGTAAAATGTTTGTTTACACAGGATGCTATCTGTGCAGGGGTCTTCACACCAAGGGATAGCTTTTTTGGGGGGGGTGTTAAGACAGGGTTTCTCTGTGTAGCCCTGGGTGTTCTGGAACTCACTGTGTACATCAGGCTGGTCTCAAACTCAGAGATCCACCAGCCTCTGCCGCCCCAGTGCTGGAACTAAAGGCCTGCACCACCACCACCTAGCCAAAGTATAATTTCTAAAGTTTCAGAAAATAAGATTGTCATTAGCATATTTTAACAAGGCTTAGAATTGGGTACAGTGGAAAGGTTTGTTCTTGGAAAGTGTCCTTGGAGACTTTCAATTCTTTTGTTCATTCCCAAGCATCTGTGTTTATTACATTTGACGTGACCTACAACACATGGACTTGTGTATATTCTTGTTGGTGTCTCTGTAATCAAAAAAGTATTTTAATAAAAAATAGAAATGAACATGACTCATGTATTTTATTAATTTCATCAGAGAATGTTGACTGTGCCATTCTGTCTGTGTTGTTAACATGTTAACATTCTTTGCTGGATGTCCCCACAGAGTTGCTGGACCAACTCACGTAACTACAACAAATGCTTCCTTCTGTGGGGCCATGGCACCAGCTGCCTGACAAGTGATCTCGGGCCATGTGCCCCAGGAATGTGGCAGCGCTGATGATTGCTGCAGTGTCAGGGCTCCAACGGTCCTGTAGGGAGGAGAGGGAAAAGGAAAGAGGTGTGGACGGACGTTCCTTTCCTAACTGTCCCACGGTAGTGCACACACGCGTCAGTGTGACTGTTAGAACTGGGAAAAAGAGGTGACAAGCAGTTCTGTCACTGTGTCTCACTGTGACCACGACCAAGGCAGCTCACCAAGAAAGCACTTAACAGAGGGCTTGCTCACAATTCAGAGGTCAGTCCAGGGTCATCGAGGTAGGCAATGCACAGGAGCAGTAACTCACGGTTGATCCGCAGGCAAGTATAACAGGCCCCCAGACCCTAATTAGCACAGCTGATGCCATGATAGAAACACTCACTATTGAAGTCCAGCATGCAGGCAGCACCGGTGCTGAAACCAGAGCAAAAGTTAAGTCAAAGGTTCCAGGATGTGGCTTTAAAAGTCCCCAGGGGAAAGTCTGCTAACCCTGTGGTCTGCCTCTGTATCTCCGCTAACCCTGCAGCCTGCTTCTGTATCTCTGCTAACCCTGCGGTCTGCCTCTGTAGCTCCCCTCACCCTGTTGTCTGCCTCTGTATCTCCGCTAACCCTGCAGCCTGCTTCTGTAGCTCCGCTTCTTGCTAACTGACATGTGGCAGCCAGGGCATGGGTTTTGTGCATGAAAGGCTAAGCTGTGAGGCTCAGGGCTACATATTTGTGACAAACTTCCTGTGCAGCTGCAAGCCAACAATACTTTGTATTTGACTTTAAGTCTGTCCACTGGCGGCCTCTGCTGGGCTTACCTCACAACAGCAGTAGGCAGAGTGATGGAGACTCGGGCCAAGTGCCCTTAAAGCCCACTCTCAGTGACTTGCCTCCTCCAACAAGACCACACCTCCTGGTCCTCCCTAAGCGGCCCACTAGCTGGGAACCTAGCATTGAAATACAGGAGCCTATGGAAGCCATTCTCCCTCACTCCACACACACGGTGAATCAGTGCTAAGTCACAGACAAGCGACACTGGAGGTTTGTAGGAAAGTGGCTCTGGTGGGGGGGGGGGTGGCGATGCAGAGGTTAGAGCTGAGATGTACAGCTGGAGACCACGCCCAAGCCTGAAACTCAGGCATCCGATGGCAGGACCAGGACCACACAGGCACATTTAGAAAGTATCTTTTAAAACCAGAGGTGGTGGTGCACACCTTCAGTCCCAGCACTGCCCGGGCAAGAGGACCTCTGCTGTCAGAGTTCGAGGCCAGCACCGTCTACATAGCAAGCTCCATGATAGACAGAATCATCCTTCAAAAAACATATGTATCTTTTTAATTGGTACATAGTGATTCTATGTATTTGTGGGACACAGTGTGACCCTTCAGGACTTGTATACAATGTGCAGTGATCACACACACACAAACACACACACGTCACAGACATTGTTTGTGTCGGGAACATTAAAGAAAAAACAAAACCCTTCCTGCTGTTTTTAAAAGTTCTGTTCTCACCAGCCTTAGTTACCCTGCTGAGCTATGACTGCCAGACGTTAGCCGCTCCCCCACCCCCCACCCCCAGCCACTGCACACATTGTCAGACCTCTCCTGCCTCTGACCTTGTGCCTCCAGTGGGAGGCTGCTCCCGAATGGCCTTTAGTGCTGGTCTTCTGAGCCCAGCTCACGTGACCTAATGTTCCCTTGTTCCCACAGGACTACAGAACACAGTTCCTGATGTGGCTAAGTCACACCGACTATGTGAGCTCTTCTGTGCTCATTCTGTCCAAAAAGCCTGGTGTCTGTTACGGAGTGGGAGGTGTCCTTAGACAACTGTGGGTCTTCAACCTTCCCATTGCTTCCTACCCAATTAAAAAGTAAGTTCAAGCCAGGTGGTGGTGGCACTTGCCTTTAATCCCAGCAGAGGCAGGTGGATTTTACCCAATGTTAGTGGAAAATTACATGAGGCCATTGTTTTGGCCTAAGCCTCTGCACCAACAAGCAGAGCAAAATATTCTCACACCCCAAGAAAGACTCAGAATCCAACTGTAAGGACGCTGGTACGTCCCCTGACAGACCAGTTTTTCTTGAAAAAGCAGACGCCAGGCTGCCTGAGCATAAGAAAGCCTGTCTGTTTTACTTTTCACCCAACAAATAACTAAATGCAACCGGATCATAGTCAGCCAGGGTTTTTTTGTTTTTTGTTTTCTATGTCATTTCCTTGTTTTCATTTACAAAACCCACTGTCCTGATGGATGGAGGCTCTCTTTCTGTTTTGTAGAGGACAAGGATAGGTCTGCGACCAGGCTCTCACAGTATCCAGGATCGTCTTTTTTTTTTTTTTTTTTTTTTTTTTGGTTTTTACGAGACAGGGTTTCTCTGTATTGTTTCGGAGGCTATCGGTCCAGCCCGGCCTCGAAATCACAAAGATCCGCCTGCCTCTGCCTCCCGAGTGCTGGGATTAAAGGTGTGCGCCACCACCGCCCGGCCAGGATCGTCTTTTGACTCATTTAATTTTTCAGGAAGTTGGACTTTATTGTACAGGCTGTGTAGCACAAGTACTAGGAACCCAGAGACAGATGAAGATAAGAAAAGCAAAGCAGCGATTCTGGTGAAAATCAAACAGCAGAGCAGCTGGCTCTTGGGCTGTGCCAAGGGGACCCCTGTAGCCGTGTCCTGGTCAGACAGTCTTCTGCTCTTGCTGTCTGATTTCTGAATAGAAAGCAGAACATCCGGGAACATGAGAGAAGGGGAGTAATTGTTTATAGTCGATATTTGAGTCTTGTGATGCTAATGAGTTACATAGATGGACTTTAAAAAAAAAAAACCACCACCACCCATAATTTCAGTCGTTTTCAAATGCAGATCTCCCTGCTGGAGCCGTAAGTGGCCAGGTCTGCAACAGGGGCCATGAGCCACCAGCCCATGAGCTGAAGGAGTGCAGCTGTCCTGGATCTCAGAGACCATCCACAGCAGCTGCACCCGGGGAGGACACCTCTCCCATCACCCACGGTGACTTGGGGCATGTCCTGTGTGAATTGTCTCCATTCTTGTGCTGGCTGGTTTTATGTGAACTGGACACAAACTAGAGTCAGCTGAGAAACGGGAACCTCAACGGGGAAAACGCTTCCCTAAGACTGGGCTGTGGACAAGCCTGCAGAGCATTTTCTTAGTGATTGATGGGGAGGCTCAGCCCATGGTGGGTGGTGTCATCCCCTATGAGAAAGTAGGCTTTGTAAGCCATGAGGAGCAGGCCAGTAAGCAGCTCTCTTCCAGGGACTCTGCGTCAGCTCCTGCCTCCAGGTTCCAGTCCTGTTTGAGTTCCTGTCCTGACTCCCTTCAGTGAAGAACAGCTGTGCTAAAGGGTTAGCCAGATAAACCCTTCCCTCTCAAACTTGCTTTTGGCTGTGGTGTTTTGTCCCAGCAACAGTGACCCTAAAATACCTCTTGGTGATGATACCTACACGCTTCTTTTGTTTCCTCTCTTCTCTGTGTGTGTGTGGTAGCCAAAAAGCACCTCAGGTATCATTCTTCAGAAGCTATCTCCCATGTTTTTTGAGAAAAGGTCTCACTGGCCTGGAAGCCGACTGGCCAGTGAGCCTCGGAGGAGGCCATCTCTGCCTCCCCAACGCTGAGTTGTGTGACACGGTGCCTGGCTTTGTTTTCCCCCTTTACTCCGGGTTCTAGGGATAGAGACCAAGTCCTCATGCAGAGCAAGCCCTGGGCTGTAAGTCCAGAGCAGGTCTCCCCAGCCCCTCTGACTCCTGGCACGGGGGGCTAGGAAAGTAACGGCCATGGAGGAGAGGTGCTGGAACCCAGCTCCAGGGGCTGGGCTGTTTACCAGTCTGGGTTAAAAACAAGGGAAGGTCAGGGATGGCCTCTCAATAAGCTCCCTGCGTGAGCGCTGGGCTAAACCATTCTAATTGCACAGGGCTGGGGGCGGGTGGGGCTGACAAAGCTGTGGGGACAAGCCGAAGCGAGCGTGAGAAACACACAGGGCGCGGCCATTTCACCTGGCTTTCACTGAGCCGTGCGGACCCGCCTCGAGACTCCAGAGTCTCCTCAGTCCCCAGTGCGCGCGTACCTGTGCCTGCGCCTGCGCCTGCACGCACTAGGACTTCCTTGCCACAATCCCCGTTAGTTCTTGAGCAGTTTCAGTTCACAGCCCAAACCCGAAGAGATAAAAAAGCACTCCTAGACTTTGTGTGTCTGCACAAATGTAAGATGAATCGGACTGAAACGATTGAGTGTGACCTTCGCATGGCACTGTACGTGAGCATCCCCCTGAGTCATAGGACCCGCGCAAGGTGCCGAAGCCTGTGAACAATGTTATCCCCACAGTGAAGTCCAACGGGATGCCGGCATGCTGAAATGTACCTATCACCCGCAACAGACTTCCAGAGTGGGGGGGGGGCAGGGAGCAGAGCCGGGCACTTCCCAGGCCGGGCTGCCTTCCAGGAGCCTGGACAGACCTCACCCTTTGGCCTGGGTTCCCTCAGCAGCAAGCACTTAGTGGCTTCTACTAGGAAGGAGGCCACGCGCCTGCCTTCCCCATAATAGAAGCGTAGTGTCACAAAAGCTAAGTCGGTAAAATACTCGCCCCACAAAAGCTCGCAGAAGCCTGGAGACCTGAGTTTGATCCCCCAACGGTCATGTAAAAGGTGGGCCCAGTCATCATCCCAGGGACGGGACAGGGAGTGGGAGCAGACACATCCCCTCCCCGAGGCTAGCTGGCCAGCTTCCCTTAAAGATGTCAGATAGCAGGGCGGGGCCACAGCAGGCTCAGCAGGTGAAGGTGCTTGCTGCTGAGCCTGCAGATCCCGCAT